GGGTTCTGGTGCAGCTTGTCTCCCCGACCTGGTGAAGCATATGTGTGTAGGATACTCCATGTCTCACACGTTTGTGTCCTCCCAGGGGCTGGCCAAGAGCTGCCCTGCCTGGGGGCAGAAGTGCTAGCTTCCCCATGGTCACTACCTAACTCATCGCTGCAAATAATTCCTATTTTAAGGAAATGGAAGTAGTCCTGGACCACTTTACTCTTCAAGGAAGGCAAGAGTTCTGTTAACATGTCTCAAAGGGCAGCTCTATGGAAACTTGATAGCTATTACTTCTTCTTCCAGATAAATTTGCATATGAGATACTTATAAGAGTTTGGGAGCAGGTCTGAAGACCAAGGTGTCTGTGCTTTAGGACTGCAGGTCTGGCAGGAGGGCTGGGGCTTTGTGAAACTCCGGGTTTGCAAGGTGTAGGATTGATTTGGAAGTATAAAATGGACAGTCAATGTTTAAATTTTCACTTTGCTGACTTTAGCACAGTGGTTAGCATTTTTTAGCTGTGAGGTTCATTTATATTATCAGATTTTAAACTCAATATTCCATCTGAGTGTGGTGGGGTGCACCTGTAATCCCAGTACTTGGGAGCCTGAGTCAAGAGGATCACTGTCAGTTTGAGTCCAGCCTGGGCTACACAGCTAGATCCTATCTCAAAAAAAAAAATCCCTTCAGTATTCTCTTCACTTTGTCATTTGGAAGCATTCTCTGAGTTGTTGCCACTGCCCTTTTGTGACTTTGTCAACTCATGCATGTTGGGGGGGGGGTAATCTCTTTTTCTTTTTTTTTTTTTTTTTTTTTTTTTGACTCTGCAGTGAGGGAGGGTATTGTTTTCCTTTATGTTTGAAGTAACTTGCTGTGCTTAAATCCAGACTGTTAAGTTTGAGTGACGTTTTAGGTTTATTCTGGTTGGCTTATGAGAATGCTGTCTTTTCCCATTAAAGTTCCCTGAAGAGTTGATATTACCATGGCAAAGCCAATGTTGTAATAACCACATTTCATCTCAGTAACTGGGGCTTTTCTCTTAGATTTAAATCCTAGGAACCGCCTGGCAGTTCTGCATTTCTTTGTATTCCACCTTTATAAACATTAGATTGGTTCCCTATAAGCTGGGCTATGTGAATGTTTTTTATTAATGAAGTACCTGAGACAGGCTACTTTATAAATAAAAGAGATTTATTTTGGCAAACAGTTCTAGTACAAGGTCTGTGGGCCACATTTGGTGATGTCCTTCTTTCTGGCAGAAACAGGGAACCTGTGTAGATAGCCTTTTTGATTTCACATTTTCTTCTTAGCCACCAGGATTCAATAAGGAAGATTCTAATAGGTTTATCTAATGCTAATCACCTGAAGGCACATAGTTGAATTAAGTTTCTGCCCCCATAATACTTCAAAATGAAGAGGATACAGGAAAGTTTGGGAGACCCCACACAAACACGTGCAAACTATAGCACCCACTTTCATGTTTTACAGAATGAAAGAAATCAGTTCTCAGATTTTTTGTGGGCAAAGGTAGCGCATTGGCTTGCACCTGGCATTGAATTTCACAACTTTATTCTTTCCATTACAGAGTATAAATCTGTGACATATAAATTCTGCCTTAGGACTGGAGAAAAGTGCAAACTAGCCCAAAAGCTATTTCAAAGTAATGTATAAGAAGCTCACGAAAATGTTGTTCCATGTTTTGAAATAATAACTAGCTGATGATCTCAGAAGAGTCCCTCAGTTGCCTTTGTGTTCAGAAGCAGAAAATTCCCTAACTTTTCTTTGTTTGAGAACTTGGTTATCTCCATCTGGATCCTCTAGGGGGAAACAGAGGAACCTTGTTTGTTGTGTGAACTCAGCTTTTAGGACTTCTGGTTTCTTTCAGTGTCAGCCTGAACTTCACCCCTAATGCAGGTCCTATGCTTCTGGGACAGCCAGGGTCTGGGGCCAGGTGTGGCCGGGCAGGGAAAAGCTCTGGGCTTGAGCCAGGGGCCAGAGTCTGGACATGGCCTAGCTGGACACTTAACCTTTCTCAGCTCACTCCCCTCATCTGTAACTACCACAGACTTCAATACTGACGTGTCACCTAACCCCACAGGCTTATTCAGCAGCACTGAATCAGGTAGAGGTGAGACTTGACTGTCATCCATCAAGAAGCCACTTATGACATGATGAGCATTACAGTGATAGTGGAATTGTGATGTGGCCTTGTCTGTATATTGCACTTTTATAAGGAAACCATGAAACAAATTCCTGCTACTTTGTTTCCCTGCAAAAGGAAAAGCAGGTTTCCTCTCCTTTTCCTGTTGGCCCTGCTGAAAGTGTGAAGGAAGATTGACAGCAGCAGCAGTGGCTGCCTGATGAGGTACCGCAGAGGTCACTCTGATCTGATGTTTTTCTCAGGAGTTCCTAGACCAGGTGAACAGTGCTGGTGGGAGACTTATCTCATGCTTGTGAGTCCCCATTGACATCAGGAAAGGGTCCAATAGCCATAGTCTCGAGGGAACTGGAGCATCTCTTGGGAACACTAGCAAGTGTGCTCAGTGAAGAAAATATAGAAAACATGGGAAAGGCAAAACAAAACCCCAACTGCATTATTCAGAGGTAACCAAATATTGGTGTGTATCCCTTTGGATATGTTTTCTATTCCTGTATCTATTTCCCAAAGTGATCTTGTACTGCTTTCTTCACTTAATGGCATACAGGCTCAGTTTCTTTGTCACTAAAATATTCTTCACATGATTTTTTGCTGGTAGATAGCATTTCACCATCTACATATATTATTATTTAACAGATGCGCAATTATTGGAAGCCTCTCTTGGGATCTGTGATGTCTCCTGTCTTTGTAATTTTGAGGACTTGTGAAGATTATGGTAAAAACTCAAAAGTCTTCAAAGAGCCAGGACTTTGTCTTCCACGGCATTTTGGGTTTAGGAACAGGAGCTCAACTTTAAGTACCAGTGTATTTTTGACTTCAAACAGGGAACCCCTACTTCAGGAAACTCCTGCTGATACATTGTTACAATGAAGGGAGTCTTAATGAAAACTAGTTTGATCAGCAAGTCAGACTTGGTGTTGGGAACAACTAACATTGCCCTGGGACAGAGTTCTTGGTATTGCCCCACCAACACAGAGTCTTTCTGTTTCTGTTGATGCTTGTCTGTGGGGGAGGTGGGGGAGGTGGGGAAGGAAGAAAGGAAACAAGGTTATAAGGTTCATGTGGTTTTCAAGGCTCCAGGACTTAACAGCATCCATTCTACTTAGCGTTACATGTTTGCCCCCTAGCAACCTATCTCTCAAGAAATTTAGTAGCACATTTGTTATTTAACCCTTCTCTACTTTCTCTTCCCCACCTTCCTCCTCTTTCTTCTGTTACTGGGTGTTGAACCTGGGGTCTTCACACAGAGCTGCATCCCATTTGTTTTACATTTTTATTTTGAGGCAAGGATCTCACAAAGGTTGCTCAAGCCTGGCTTGAGTTTGTCACCCTCCCGCTTCAGTGTCTCAGATTCGCGGGACCTTGCCCAGCCTTTCCCCTCTCCCCATTTCCTTCCTTCCTTAGGCCTTCATTTCTTTCTTTCTTCCTTCTCCTTTCATCTACTTTCTTCATCTGCTTTAGTAACGAGATCATAGTTAAGCAGGAAACCCCCTAAGAAGACTTATCTAATTTTATCTAATTCAAATTGAAGAAAATTGAAAAATTTTGTCATTTCTGCTTGCATTAAATCCTTGTTTCACTGTAGAATTCATTGTAACTTAATAGGTATGTAACTTAATTGATATCAGAAGTTAATTGCTGTAGCTTGTGTTTAAGATTTAATAGGTGTTTCTTTAATCAGATTCCCAGTGAATGGTTGGGAACTGTGGTCCAGGAAGTGATCAGGGGAAATGGGAAACCCGGCTTCATGTCAGGGTGTGCTGAGGATAACTCTGTATGGATAAGTGTCTCATTGTCCTCTAGTGATGACATTCCTTGGCTTCCCTTCCATTTATCTTCAGTTTGATTAGCTGCTAAAGATAAGGATGCATTTTTATTGTCGGTAAGATTACTTTGTGTATTTGTTGAAATAATTTATCTCATAGTTTTCGCTCTGATCCCATAAGTAGATTGGGAGATCCTTCTGACCCCAGGGATTTTTGTCTTCTGTCTTTCCTCTCCTTGCCTCAGTTTTCTTTGTTTGCTTCACCATTCATTTCCAATGGAGTTAGTTTGGGTTTTTGTTGTTAATAAACTGCTATAAGCTCTTCTGTGTTGGGATTCTGAGTCATTTATACTGTACCGACCATCTCCTAATGGTTGGAGGGAGCGGCTCTGAAGCAGGGACTACAGAGCCAAGTGCCTCGGTGGCAGAACAAGGACTGGTACCCAGGGAGTGGGGTCTCATCCAGGGGAGCCTGGTGCTGCCAAAGGAACTGATTCAGTAAAGGAGCTGGGAATCGGTATTTTCCTTTTGTGATGTATGTTTGAAAATTCTTGGTTTTTATGTTGGCTTTTTTTTTTTTTTTTAAAGTTTAGGTCAAACAGAACGTGGCCCAGATTAGGTCCACAAATGGCCTGTATACAGTGTTCACTGTAAGCCAAAGTATACAGTTTGTCTTTCAAAGTTATTATCAGTAAGTAGAATATATGGGTACTAATCAGCCTGACTAGTTGAGATTCATTATTTTAATCATCTTTGACTAGGAACTACCACTTACATAACTGTGCAGTTGAGTTGCTGATAACTTTGTCCTGTTATTTTCTGGTCTCTTGGGTACAAAGCAACTTTTAAAAAAGAAAACGGAGTTTTAGGCTAACAGAGCTCTAATCAAGCCTCTAATTTTCATGTACGTAGTTTTCAGATTTCTAAATAGCAGTGTTCTCAACTGAACCGAAAGCATCTATTAATACGATAACTGTAGGTTGCCAGAATTTAAAAATGTATTAGCAACTTGAAGTTGAAAAAATTGAAAATTAATCTTGGTTCTAATTACCAGATGGTAATTCATATAACTTCTTTTTCTTTCTTTGAAAGATTTGAACATGGAATTCAATCCTTCAGATCATCCTCGGGCCAGCACAATATTCCTCAGTAAATCTCAGACGGACGGTAGGTTTCTAATTTATTGTATCTTTTAAACAACAACTAAAATAATTTGTGTTGAGAGTATAAGTCTTAATTTTCCACTAGATTTGATTTTTCGGTGTAGAATGGAAAGTCCTTTAATTACCCTAAATATATTGTTTCTTGGAGGCTACCTTTGTTTTTTTTTTCCTTTCATTATACTTTTTGGAATTTCACATTTGAAGCAACTATTTTGCCATTTACCTGGATTATAGGGATCTACATACATTGCATAGCAGTAGTTTCAGTTCTGAGAGTCATAAACTTCTCTTTAATTGTGAGTAGTTGGATAAATTTTCAAAAGATCAGTTGTTTGTGTAAAAAGAAAAGAAAAATAAGCCTTATGTAAAAGCATCATTAATAATCTCTTTTATATCCTTGAGCGCTAACTTTAGAGCCCTTTGTTACAAGAGAAATAGGATAAAATTTACATAAAAATCAGATCTTCTTGGTAAGGATATCTGTCAAAAGAGTATATATAAGAATAGCTCCTCAGTAATGGTTAGGTAACAGTTTGGTGAGGTATAATATATATATAAAACTGGTGATCTTTAATTAAGTGGGCTGCTAACTTGATTTCTGCATATTTTCTTGAAAATATTTCCAAGGAAAAGAATAAATCAGGTAGGTATCCCATACTTGCAAAGTAAAATTTGAATTGGGGTCACCCCCCACACCTTCCAGAAAAACAGCGTCATTTTTTCCTAGTGAAATGGGAAGCCATTGAGGAGGATAGATTATTGCCTGCGAAGGAAAGTGACCATGAGAATGCAGGCTTGGGACAATGAAAAATGAGGGTCAAAAACAATTTTAGAAATGTAAAGAGCTTGGTGTGGTAGAAGTAACCAGGAAGGCTACTTGCCTTTAGATTTGGTACTTGCTTACTGTGAACTCAGAGACAGACCAGCATTATTCAGAAAATGTTTTTCCAGTTTTTCATGAAATCATTTCAGAGTCTCTGAGTGGATGACACATACCTTGATTGTCCTGGTGAAAGGAAATGATCTTACAGAAGAAGAATTGTTCCAGAAATAGCTCAGGAGCATATATCCTGCCCCTCCCATTTCCTCTTCGTCACATTTCCCTTCTTTGACTGGAATATTAGGGTTTTAATTACTTTGAAGTTTGTTTATTGCTTCAATGTAAAAATGTTAGATTTCTCCACAATGTAAACATAGTTAAATCTAACAGGTTGCAACCAAAAGAAAAAACATAACCAATATTGTCTCCTCCCAGTCCTCCTAGGATTGTTTCCCTCTGCTTTCTGTCCAGTGACATCTCCAACACCACCTCTGCTGTTTCTCTCCCACCACTTCCCTATTGGACCCTTCCCAGAGTGTGGAGAGTGAGGTTACCCCAGGGCATTTTCCTTTCTGCAACTGTAGACCACTTCTGTGCTACCACAATTTGTTGAAGTTTCGTGAAACTCCCACTCTTGGCTTCCTGTGTTCAAACAGGCCAATTTGCCGAAGACAAGTCCATCTAATAAATAATCATTTTTCCCTAATTAAAAGAAATAAGTTTTTAAAAATAAGTAACTTTAATGAATTACTTTTTGGTGAAATGATTGTCAGAGTACTGGCTGGCAAATTGGACCTGAGAGGTCCTTCCTATAAGCTGCTTCTCAAATGTTTTAATAAGCTTTTTCTCCATTAACTCTTATAATTGTCATATTCCCAGTGTTCTGTCTCTTAGCCTCACATCTTTCTGATCTGTACACGTGGCATTTGTGTCATCTGAGCCTAACCAGATTTTTCTCTGCAGAGTTGAACACCCTCATGCCTGTATACCTGGTGGACATCCTTACAATGAAGGCTGTAGGTTCCTCTTATTCAATGTTTCTTAGATGGAATGAACTGCATTTCCTATCCTGTTTGTGTCCTTAAGCCAGAAGGATTTGACTTTTCCTAGACTCATCCCTGTTCCCAATTCTCACTTACTGGTTCTGATGCTGGGGCTGATTTGTTCTTTGTTAAGAGATATCCTATAGGAGCACCTGCACCATAGAACTTTGCAAAGACTGTACATTCTTTTCATTTTCTTTTTTTAAGAAACTGTTAGGCATTTACCGGCACACCCTCATATTTATGTACTTCAGGGAGTCTTGAGTTTTATCTTCTTTGGCCAGTGACTTTTTCTTTTCCATTCTCTTGCCTGCCACCTTGGTTTGGACTCAGTTTCTCTCTTGCCTTACTGTAACAGTCCCTAGTTGTGTCTCCCTGCTTTTGAGTTTGTCCCTCTGTAGGCCTGTGTCTGTGTTGCTGCTGAGTCTATATATCAGATGAAGAAAGGCTTTGTAAATCAGATGTGATTGTGCCTTTGCTTACTTAAAAGCATATTGGAGGGAGTGGGGTGAGACTGCGCTTGCTCAGGCAGGCCTCACACTCATCATGCTGCCTCTTCTCAGCGAGGGGTTACAGGTGCACACCACCATCACGTCCAGTTTACTACCACTCTTTTAATTACTCCCCAGTTGCCTAGGGATTGGGTTGCAGATACTCAAGGCTCTTTGTGACAAAGCCTCTGTCATTGTACTCTGTCTCGTCTTGCTACCTGTGTACTTCAGCCATAGTGAAATGCTTGTAGTTCTTTGTCTTCGCCACTTGTTTTATACTCTTTTTAGGTGCCTGGATTTCCCCCTCTGTCTTTGACACACAGTTCTTTTTTGTCTTCAAGTCTCTTCCTCTATGAAGATCTTGAGCCCTCAAGATGATTTAAATGGACCTTCAGTGAATTGCCACCTTAACTGATAAATGCTTTTTCAGAGTCTGAACTGTATTGTGGTATATAAGCCAGTGCTGAGTCTGCTGCCCTAAGAGAAAAGAGCACATTGATACTGGGTCTCCATCTTTGAGTGCCTCATGAATGTACAACCTAGCTGGTAGAAAGAAAGATGCCACCTAGAAGCATACTTGACCTGACTGTGAGAATTCTTCACCTGTATAAACTTACTTTTCCATACTTAACTTTTCTCACACTTCTAGGAGTACTAGAGCAGATCCCAGTTCTGTTTTTCATCCGCTCGATTAATTGGAAAAATCTTGTAATCTGAGACAGTAAGGTCCACAGCACCTGTTAGTTTCCTTTCTTCTGAATCCGATGACTTCTCTTTAAGGTTGATGTGCTCCTTCTGTGGCTGACATCAAGTGTTAGGATAGGAAGCCATTGTTGAGTGCTGATAGTTATATTAGGGCAGCTGCTGTTTGTACTAGTTATGTAGCTCTCCAGTGTTTGTGGCTTGCTCTCCTCCTCCACCGGCCTTCTTTCTACCCCCCCCCCCCATCACTCCCTACTTGTCTAACAGACAAATCCTGTGAGGGTCATTAGAGTTTCTTGCTTGTTAAATTCCTTTTCTTTGTGGATATCAAAGAGCTTTAGGTCTTTTTGTCCTTGTTCAAAAAGAGACTGGAAAACTCAGGAAAACTGACTGTGTACTGATTAGAGCTCCCCAGCTGGCTGAAGTTGAGTGTTTTATTCAAATGCAGCATGACTGTTACCTGTTACTTCTTTGCACAAATGATATGTCTTGCAGATTTCCTTTGTAAAAGAGCCATTCAACAAAGGGACCAAGGTTTCATCTTGGGATGGAGGAAATTGCTGGGTGAGAGAGAACCAGGCCTGCCTTCTGTTTTTGGTGTGCAGTTCTTGCTTGTAGGGGAGAACCCATGTAGTTCCTGATATCTGTTCCTTTTGTTTATACATTTTAATTCATTGTTTTCAAAGTTAGGAGAGCTTATTATTGAGTATTAGGAAAGCAACATCTTTTATCTTTTAATTATACGGTTTAAAAGTTCTTTGCTTTAAAAAGAGATTTTGAACAAAACTAAAGCTTTTCGTGTGTCTATATTCAGTATTGACTGTGACTCACAAACGTCCCTTGAAATAATTAAGGAATAAAAACTACTCTTTGAGTGGCCTGAAACCAAAGTGGAAAGATAAAATTTAGAAACAAAAATATGAGTATGTATTTTTTGCATATCCTTTTGTAAACCATGAAATTGAAACTATTTTGCGGCCATCTTCTTTGTGAAGTCATATTTTTGTGTATGGGAACCAGTGAACTTTTGCTTCATGAGAGGACCAGCCTTTTTGTCCTCCTTTTATCTGGCATTCAAGAGTAGCTGCCCCATGTCCTTCTGGGGTCTCTTCCTGCAGAGCTTCCCATGACTGTCTTCTGCTGCCCTCTTTACCACCTTCATGGGTGCTGGATTCTGCAAAGCCTCCTGTCCAGCCCCTGGGCCTGTCATCTGTGTCTCCCTGGGACTTGGTATAGAAGGCTTTTGCAGTCACGTGCTGAAGCATCCATAGAGACCAAAGATTTCACATTAGTGATTTGCATTTTTCTTCTTACACACCATGGGAAATAACTTTGTGAGCTCCCTCACATGTTTTTATGCTAATATTAAAAATTGTTCATCCTAGCCAACGATGTAACTTCTGATATATTGTAAGTATTGATATTTTAAAATAAAATTAACCTTTTAAAAAGTGTTTCCAATAAAATGTTAATATTTTAGTATCACTTGATATTCATTAGTCATTTAAAAACACATAAATATGTTGTTTCACAAAAGTTGAAATCTTGTGTCATTCCATTTTTATCTTGCACTTGAATTTCCATTTCATTTTCTCCACAGAATTTTAGCCTATTTTAACATACTTTTATTTCTGAAAGTTATTTATCATGTTATGCTTTTATAAATATATGGGCTAGCCGGGCATGGTGGCTCACGTCTGTAATCCCAGCACTCGGGATGCTGAGGTGGGAGGATCCTTGTGAGTTTGAGACCAGCCTGGGCTACAAAGTGAGCTCAAGGCCAGCCTGAACTGCATAGCGAGACCCTGTCTCAAAAAGACAAACAAAACAAATATATATATATATATATATATATATATATATATGGGCTTAAATTTAATTTTTATTTCTGGTAATTATAAGGTTTAAAATGTTAAAAAAATTTAGATTGAGGTATTATTAATCCTCA